TTTAAAAGAAACCAGATAATTTGTGTGAGCATTGCTAGTCATGCATGCTAAAATAGGGAGTGATCACATCTCGTGCTTCAGGAGCTGCCAGTATTGAAGGGTTGGAAAGAAATTGTATTCCTCCTCCGGGTGTCTGTATTTCCCTCCCCATTTGTAAAATACAGAAAGTGCAGTGCTTGGGGGGTGGTTAAAGGCTTAGTTTTTGCAGCAGGGACGTGACTTGGGATGCTCGTGTGGCTCTGTCATCCAGGTGACAGCACTTTCACTGGGAAGCTGCTCCTTGCCAGGCATTTGATGACTGTACTCTGAACAGAAGTGTGAGGATGGGGGTGTTGGCATCAGCTGACTGATAAGGAGATAGTATATTACACTAAAAATACACCCAGATCTTCACAGGCAACTGTGAGCATTACCTGGTGTCATGTGCAGCGAGAATGAAACAAAAGTTGAGGTGGGTTGAGCGTGGCTCGGCCTCGCTGTGAGGATGTGCTGGGACGCTCTCTGTTCATTCCATGGCATTTCTCTTCCTTCTTCAGGAGCAGCTGCTCACAGAAGTGTGCAGCTACTCAGTGTTCCTTGCTTGTCGCACGTGTGGCCACAGCCCTTGTCCACTGCAGGATCAGAGCACTGCTCTGAGCTCAGCATGATGTCCCTGCTCCCAGAGCCCTTGCAGCTTCTCCCAGAGCTGCTGACATGGGAAGAGGTGAATCTTGGTTAATGGGGAGAGGGTGAGAGTGGAGGGGCTGAGGATGTGAGTGTCATGTCGTGTTCACGGGTTTTTGCAGGGGGAGGGAGGGATGCTCCATTTAGGATGTCTGTGCACCCGGATTTTGTGTGTTCCCCTCTGTTCTCATGGAAGCACACTGTGAGAGGCCAAGGGCATGGGATCATGTGGCATTGCAACCTGCTGGTGAAAATGTTGTGAATTTTGATCCAATTCGTCCTTCAAAGTTTATTTCTTCCTTAGTATGAAGGCCTCAGAGTACTACTTGTATATATTTTCTTATATTGAGATGAAGTAAATGGTTTTCATGGTGACTTGTAAGAGCAAGCAGGAAGAGCTTGCTCTGAATACACACTTTTAATCTCGTTTTGCTTATTTTTAGTTGGATTTTTTTTAATGACTGACAGCTGTTAGAACTCTGATTCACAAACAACCATTTTTGAAAGTACAGACCTTTTTGCTAGTGAATAGCAATGTGTTTCTACAAATTCATGTAAATAATTAGATGCCTTGGATGCATTGGCTCAGATCCTTAATTTTCACATTTTTAAGTGACAAAATGGCAAATGATGTATTTTCTGGTAGATTACTTCTCATTTGTGTTATTTTTTTATTTGGATGGAAAATGGAATTTTAATTGAAATGCAGAAGATCTGGGTTTTGAGGCTTAATTAAAACTCCAAGTGTGAAGGAGAGGCATGATTAAAAAAAAAATAAACAGAAAAAATAGTTTGTCATTGTTTCTCAAAAGTTTAGAGTTCACAGACCTTGCCCACTGACTGTTTCACAGGTTTCTATGCAGGAGTCCTTTTTAATTTGGGATTAAGAGCTCGTTGAACTGCACCATTAGAGTAAACTGAAATGAGGCACTGCAGAAGTAGCTGTTGAAGGTAAAAGCTCTCTGAGCATTTCATCAAAGGGTGGCTCCAAGAGAGTGCTGAACAGCAAATTCACCAGGCCCAACTTTTTTTTTTTGGTATAAATTATATGCTTACTGTTTTTATTTTATTTAAATTACAGTAGGCATTTGCCCTAATATATGCTGTTACAATTTCATGTTAGATTTGTAATTAAGTTTATTTTTAGAAGAATGCATTTAAGTGGTTTATATAAAATGATTTTCTATTTTTGTAAATGAAATAATTGTTTTTTATTGACTTTCGATTTCATGCAAATGTAGGGCTTTTTTTTGGCTTGAAGGTTGTGTAAGCAGAAAGAAATTAATGATTTGAGAGTATTTTCATAATACGAAGAATAGAAGACTCGTTGTCAGTAGCTGGGGACACTGATAGGCAGAGTTAACTCTTAATTAGACATTGAGTGATGGATGGATGTTAGAGGGTGTGGTACAGTTGGTTTATATAATAAATTTTCCTATTGATTATTTTTCCTGGTTGAGATGAGAAAGACAAATTGTGAGTGAGTTTGGGATCTGACGCAAAATGGTCAGAATGTCGCAATCCCGAAAATGTCGCAATCTGATGGACAAGTGAGTGTTAATTGTGAGTGAGCCAGATTGGCTATTTTTAATTTGGCCTCGCTATCACGTCTCTTCACAGATGAATTCGAAGGCTACAGGGAGTTGAATGATGAGTCACTATTGAGTTGGTAAAATCACAATTGATCTCCGTTTCCTGTTGATTCCAAAATTACTGAAGTGTGAAAGCCGAGAGTGACTGATCACTTCTTGGAGGGGAGTTTGAGGGTGGAATGTGGAAGTGACTCTCTCTGAAGTAACTCAACGCTGCCCTGGGTGTCAGGACAGGGATGTGTGCAGTGAGAACAGGTGTGTGTGTGTTGGTCTGGCTGGCTGAGTTACCTCCAAGGAATGATAATCCACACACTAAAACACGCTCGCCCTGCAGCAAGGTGGGGGGAAGAGATGTCTTCAGTGGCTAAGGATAGAAGCTGAAATTAAAGTTTTCATTAGTCTCCTTGTCCTGCAGTTCTTTCTAACTGACCTGTGTTCCTGTTGCTTGGCTCAGACAATTCTGCCCTGAAATCCCCGTGCTCCCAGTGCTATTTGCTGTGGCAGAGGGGAGGATGCATGGGCAGCAGTGGGGTGCCACACAGAACATTTTGTGTGTCTGTTGTTGTTGTTTGCAATTACCTTTTGATGAATGGCAAATTGTCATTCTGCAGCTTTGTTCTTTTCTTGTGATGGAGATGCTCTTTTGACAGATAGTAATTAGAAGCACTGTGGTAATGTGCAGGTAAGATTTAAAATTTCTTTTCTTTTTTTTTTCTTCCTAGAACTTATTGTTAGCAAAACTTTTTTTTTTTTTTGGTTAAGAACTATTAAGTCACATTACTAGACTCTGCCCACGTTGCATATGTGAGAGTAAATTCTGCTGAAAGGGGATTTGTTGGAAGAAATTAAAGGGAGGATGTACACTGTTCTGAGTTATACTGGAAGCAAACTATAAAGAAGCCTTGAAGTATCACTTCAGGAAGAGAGAACTCAGTTTAGTTCCCTGGAGGACTAAAAGGAGGTGGGAGGATGCTTCTCTGCTGCATCCCTCACAAAATTCTGATTTTAAAGAATTTTTCTGAAGAATTTTTCTCAAAGGAGTAGTAACAACCTGTGTTCTGCCTAACGACTTTTCAGATGGTCTTTGGACCATTGAAACTTGTCCTGGCTGTACGCTCTGATATACTGTGTTAAAACGGAAATAAAGAACCAAGAGAAGAAGAAATAGACCTTCTCCTTGGAAAGCATGTACAAGTTTCCCCTAGTTTGCCTTAGTTAGGATTGTAGAAAACTGGGAATGGGGGAAAAAGAGATGGCTGATCCTGCTGTCTGAGAACAACTCAGTTTTTGAATTTGTAAACAAAACAGGAAAAAAAAAATCCTGCCGGCTTCCTGACATTCAGGGTGTGTGGTTTTCAGTCAGAGGAGCTGATTCAGTTGGTCTGGCTTTTGCAAGGGAACAACGAGAGGAATAAATTGCTCTGAGAGGGTGTAAAGAACTTTCCTCAAGAAAAAGTTGAGCAAACATGGAGCACTGAGTTACATGGTTGAAATTTGGTGAGGCGTGGAGAGGACACTGGTTTTCAGCAAAGTATAATGTTTGTTCAGGGTGTTGTGAATTCAGGAGTAAGAGTCGCCACACTTTAAAGACACGTCTCAGTCATACTGGGGTTTAAAGGGGCTGCAAAAAGCTTTATGAGGAGCGATCTCGGCAGTTCTCAATGCTGCCGATTGCAGAGAATCTTCAAATACTTGTACCCACACCTTGATACCTTATATCTTGTCTTGTAGGATCTCTGTTGATGTGCCCCACTACAAGAGCATTTTATTAAGACCAATTAAATGTATAATATTTTTATAATACTTGTCTTTTGGAAAAATCAATATGACCAGTTTCCCTTTGAAATGACAAGAAGCCTGTTGTGCTGACAGAGTAGAACGCATTAGGAAGTGGTGCTTTGTATCCTCTCAAGAGTAATGTGCTCTTGTTTTCTCTTAATCAGCAGGATGTTCTCCTGTATGTCAGATGTCTTAGTTGTTTTTGTGATCTCTATCAGAGAAGAGTGAGGGGGGAAAGTGCCAGAGGAACAAAACAGGTTTAAAGGCTTTATAGCAGAGAAAGCCTGCAGCCCTGCATTTCTGTTTAAGCAAAAGTGGTAATCACCACCTTAGGGTTGGACACTTCGTGTTTGTGTTTGTGCTTTAAACAATAAATAAAAGAACAACTTGCCTTTCAGAAGAACATAATGTGTAGCCTGTTGAAATACTCTGGAGCATAAGGGATATAATTAACCCTTTTCCCTTTACCATGGTTGTGTTTCAGAAGCAAGATGTCTAACACATTATTTGCCAGTTCACTGAAGTAAGGATTTTTCAAGTTGATTGTCTGAAAATCAGACTCTTCTTCCTCCATCCATTGCCTTCCCCTCCTTTCCTATTTTCTGAGCTGCAGTTTCCATATTTGTAATAGGTCTAGTAGTGGTTGCCTTTTTTTTTTTCCCTTCAAACTTAAAAGTAGCCATTGACAAAGAAAGTTTATTTCTCATCACTCTTGCTCAAGGCTATAGATAATAGATCTTGGAAGTTCAGGCACTTGTCCAGGCTTTTCAGAGGAATTTTTAAGAGGTGCTTTTGATGCAGTGAAGGAAAGGCAAAGACTTGAAAGGACTGACAGCACAATCAGGATTTGGTTCAACGCATGAACGAAACCTCTTCCTGTGATCCTTGAATATTTTGCTTTACTGATCAGGTCTTGGGTAGCACAAATCAATTCTGAACTGTTCTCTCAGATAGTTTTGGTCTGAACTGTTCCCTTAGATAGTTTTGGTATGATTCAGTGAAAATGGGCTGAAAGGAGACAGAACCTGAAATGCTTCCAACTCGTTTTTTCCCATCTTGACTCTCCTTGAAGTATGTGAATTAGTGTGAGAAAGTGTCTGTAGCTCCCACCGGGTCAAATGGAGGTTGAGATAAAAATACTCGTCTCTGTGTGTATTGTAATATTGATCGTCGTGTGGTAAATAATTCCTTGGCAGCAGGATTGCCAAGTCTGATGTTTTACACTTCATTTGTGAGTTCTGGTGCAATCTTGCTTCTGGCTCTGTGCTCGGACCTGCTTTTTTGTTCTTTGATGGATATCTGCTTCATTACTTCCTTTTGACCAGCCTTTCCTTTCTGATAAACAGTCATCCTTTGGATTGGTGTAGCTGCTTGGAGCTCCCTGGGTCTGTTAGTCACAGCTATTCTCTTTTTGTTGTGACAATTTAATAAATGAATGGTCTCCATGAAGACCCATTCCTGTTTCTCACCTCTCCTGGGATGGGTGTGCATCAATTCACTCCAAAACAAAGATTGCTTCCCAGTCATTTTCTTTGAATTTCTTTGTTTTTATCTGTTCCATTGTACTCGTCTTTACATAGTGTTACCCAACACAGTCATTCCTGTCACTTGGGGACCTCCTTCTTTAGGCATTCATGTTTTCCAAAGCGGACTAGGAAGTTTTCTGTTAAAGGCAGTGCGGCCCTTTCACAGACCTGGGGGCGGTTCTGAGCTCAGGACTTTGTGCCCTAAATTGCTGGTTAACTGTGGAGGCAATGAGGAGACCGAGTCCTGGTTTCTGCCTCTGAAGCTGAATGAAGCTGGCATGTGGTAAAGCAAAGCACTGTCGGCTCAGATGTGTTTTCTTAACATGGAACCAACCAGCCTTGCACAAATACCGTGGTTTTCTTTCACAACAGCGCAGCGAGGCCGGCGGAGCTGTCAGAAGGGTGAGGCGAGGCCGAGGGCTGTCCAGCGCCTCTGCTCCAGCATCACTTCACCTTCAAGCTGGCAGCTGGAAAGGGCGGTGTTCCTGTCCAAACCCTGCTTACCTGTGCTTTTTTTCCCTTCTGTTTTTCTTTCTCTGGCTCGGTTTAAAGCTTTTTGGACGTAGATGTGGTACTCTTAGCCGGTGATCCGAACACCCAGCACAGCTTGTGTTGGCAGGAGCTGTTTGGCTGATGGGACTTCATGTTGTTTGGGCAGGCAAATCATAACTACAGGCAAGAGAAATGTCTTTTTTTGGGGTGGCTGTAGTGGCACAGTGGAGATCAGATTCTTCTTCTACTTCCCAGATTGGCAGCTGGTTTTGCTGTCGATGATGGTGGGGAAGGATGTGGGGTGCTATAATTAGCTGTGGGATTTCAGAGCTTGGAGAAACCTTCCTTGTGTACTTGTGTCTGAAGGAAACAGTCTCACCAAAACTTTTTTGAATGCAGTCTGGGTCCAGAGAGAGGTTTGCTTTGACACAATCATGTAGTCTAATTCTAAAGTCTTGTGAGCAGCTGCTGCCCGTGTGTCAGTTTCCTTCTCACCAGGAGACGTTCAGAATTATTTTTTTGGGTGCTCCCCCTGTGTGAGAGGTGGCAGCTATTGAGATCAGCTAATACTTTTTTGTCTGTCTTGCAGAATGTAAAGTGTATTGTTATCATGATAAAAGGGTTTCTGAATGCAATGAAACTAAAGAATATGTCACTTAGGATTATATATTTAGAAGTGTATTACAGGGTCCATGTGGTTTCTCCTGCTTCCCTTTGTCTAGTTCCTCCTTTTATTTGTTGCAGAGGATAAAGTTCACAGTTTAATTTTTAATCTATGTCTCTAAGGAAAGATTTCTTATCATAGGTTAATTATAAATTTATTTGATATAATAATTTAAATATTAAGTAGTACATTAACAAATGTTAATACTTTGCTTAAGAAACACACCTGCTCACAGGCTGAGGTTCCAGGTGTCCTAGTGCTAAACCACCTTTTGACAGCAGTTGCCCACTCCACAGTTCATCCAGGGAGGATATTTTTATTTTAATTCCATCAGCTAGGTCATGGCAGTTAAGTTCTATTGCAGTTAAGAAAATCTGAGTCTAAAAACTTCTAGTGTGTTGTGTCCCCCCTGCCTCAGCTGAAAATTGATTTTTGAGAGGATGAGATCTTTTAAGATAGTGATCTTTCAAAAATTGTGCATTTCAAGAATCAGTTCAGGTTAACCCTAGAAAAGCGTGTTTAGATCCACTAAAAAGCGTGTTTAGATTCGTGGTGAATGCAACAAGCTAATTTTAAAGATGACTTTAAAGTTGTGTGCCTGAGTTAAAATCTTGTTTTGTGTACATCCCTCTACATATTGACTATAAAAACAAAGCAAAACTTTCACTTGGTTGTTTTTCTCTCCTTGATGTTATCCACCTTTTTGGACTCAAATTTCTTCTAATTTCTTCATGACCAGAAGAAATAATGAAATAGTACCAGGGAGCTGGCTTACAGTCAGGTTAAGTGTTTGTTTTTCATCTGTGCCTTTAGGTAGGAGAGGGATGTGTATACAAGGTAAAGGGTGAAAACAATGATGAAGACTGAGCTCTCCATCTTGGCCTTGCCTTGATTCATCTTTTGGAATAAATCTGTGCTGCTGCAGATCCCACTGAGGGGAGGTTCCTGAAGTTGGGAGTGTCTGGAGCAGCATCCAGGTTTGATATTGCTGCTTGGTTTGTCCTTGTCTCATCTCTTGTAACTTCCTGCATCCTCTTCCCCCCAAAGTCTTGCAACACCCTTCTTGCAACACTCATCCCCCCAGTTTTAGCCGAGAAGGGGGGTGGAGCAGGTAATCCCTGATGAATGAAAGGTGCCATGGATTTATTTGTCTCACCCTGTTGGACCCACTGATTTCTCACGGGGGAATTTGTTAGAAATGCGTTGGGGTAACCTGTTGCACCCCAGGCTCTCCAGAACCACCTCCCAAAGGGTGAATAGTAATTCTCCTGCTTGCTGTGCCATTCCAGTGCTCCTCTGAGCAGAGTGGATATGGTGACAGGAATTGCAGTTGCCAAGCAATAGAACTCAGCAGAGCCTGGCTGGTTAAATACCCGAACTGTTCTGCTCACTAGAGTTGCAGCATCGTGCATCACCCACAGTGCTTCTAGGCAGTGTCTAAAAACTGTGTGTGAGGTTGGAAATCCAATGTCTCGGGCAGTATGTAAATGTGAAATAGACAGTATGGGCTGAAATGTCACCTTGAATGTAAGTGTGGAAGGTGGCTGGAAGTAAACCACTGTTGGCTCTTCTTTTTTTAACAAGTTCTATTTATTTAGCTTATTTTATCTTTTATATTCACTGTTTTACAGTAAGGTTCAATGAGCTGCTGATGAGAACATCTGCATAGATCCGTTGAAAATCCTGTACCCAAGCTTTCGTTATATTTTCAGAGAAATGAAACTCCTGGAGTTTCAGCGGTTGACTGTGCCTAAAGAGCTCTGATTTCCCATGCTTAACCCTGTTTGTCTGGTAACTTCTCACCTGTGTGCATTAAGGATGTTTTGTTTGAGGAGACACTCACCTTGAGTGGTATCACAGAGGTGTTTGGCTCTCTTTTTCCGTGGTTGTTGTGCTGTGATGCCTCTGAGACAGTAAATACCGTGTGAATGCAGCCCTTGTGGTGCAAGGACACTTCCCTTGTTCAGGCTGTGTTTGTGATACTAAAATCGAGTCAGAAGCATCCAGAATTCACCAGAAAAGCGAGTTCACCTAAGAACTCCTCCTGGTATAGGTACTTTGGTTCACATTTGTGTTAAACTATGTTCTGGTGCGAGTGTTTTTGGTTGATAAAGCCTGAACTACGTTACCTTGTCTCTGGCGCCAGCCCACGTGTTTTACCTTGTATTTGGAGAGGAAGGTTCTTTTTTCAGTCTAGTTAGCTCATGGCTGGAAAGCCCCACAGCACCTGCATATATGTAATTTAATACCTTTAAAGCCCTTTTTGGGGATTGCAAGTTGGTCATATTTTAACTGCCTTGAGAAAGCAGGTTACAGCATGACCTATGTGATTTTTAAGCTGTTTAGCTGCCATGTGAAGGGAGGGGTGGGAGAGCTCCCTGTTCTGTTAAATGAAGTTTGATAGCATTAACTTTTTCTTCTGTTCAGTTAGATAATTCTATTTTTTTTAGCGCCATTGTAAATTTCTATTTTGGTGAAAATATGGGACTAATGGAAGTCTTAGTTCAGTTTGTTAAAACAGAAACATTGCTGTGGAAGGCCAGAGAATGTGGGATTTCTGTGTTTGATTGCTTAAGAGCTGGTTAGCACAGCATAGTAGGGCTCTGTGTTGCATATTGTTAAGAGTAATTGCATCAGACTTGTAATTTTTCTGTGGATCTATGACTCACTATTAAATCCTCTGCTGACCATTATGGATGCAATTGTATGTTATGATACTGTTTTGTCAGTTGGCTTCTAATGAAGCCTGAATGATCTGGCCTGATTAGCCAGCCATTTTTGGAAAATAATAATACTAAAAAAATTCCCCAGAAGCTTTTAAAGAGCGACAGCTTTCCTAGATTACTGCAGGGTGGCAACCCAGCAGGCAGCTAAGAGCATGGTAAAGTCTTCCTAAATGTGAGTTGCTGAGCCCAGCCACATGATGAATTTTCATTCTGGAAGGATTTGGCTGCTTATCCCAGCTACCTAAGTGTATATCCCATAGGTTTCTGTCAGCCAGTTGCTGAGTCACTTGGATGTGCAGACAACTGTTTTAAAAACAAATAAATAAAATCATGCGCGCAGCTATTTTTTTTTAAAGGTGGAAAGAACAGTCCCCAGGAGAGACAATTTTTGCAAAGCTGTATTGTCATCACAGATTGTGAAACATAAATTCAGTGTTATAAACAGCTTGTAATTTCAGTCTTCCATTTTTGCTTTAGTAGGAATTAGACTGAAGCTGCTGGTGTTGGTTTTAGACATTATTAGCACCATTAAAAAAAAAGTTTTACTCTCATAGTTATTGATCATAACGTGCCACCTACTCACTTGTATGTGACATATTTTGTATAGAATGGCACGTGCTTATTTTGTGGTGGGGTCAGGGAAGTTAGAGGATGGGATAAGAAGAAATGCAGAGGTTTGAAGTCTGTCTCCTGTGAGGAGGGGGCTCATCTTTAGTGATTTATTTAGGTATTACCTGCTTTCTTCTGCAGTTTTTTTTTTTTTTTTTTGTTGTTTGACAGTTTTCTCACAAACTTGACCAGGCTGTGACTCTGCAGTGTTGCAGGGAATTATTCTGGAATTGCATTGAGCTGGTGTTTCTAACAGCTTTCCCTTGCCTAGAAATGCCCAGGAGCAGCTTGCCAGAGGTTCGAATGCTCAGCTCAGGTCACGGTGAGGTTCAAACAATGGCTTTCAGTGTTTGACACCTATGGGTGTTAATGGGTGAGGAATTTGCTGGTGAGGTTCATCTTCGAGTTAGCTCTTCTTTGGCAGAGAATCTTAGAGGCATTGCCCGTGACCTGAGCACTACAGATCGGGGTTAAAAGTTTGGTTTAGCATTTCCTGGCTTTGGTAGCTGGGCGTTCTGGGCTGGATGTTATCCTCCCTCCATTCCTGCCCTGTGCACCCAGGAGGATGAGCAGGAATCCATGCCAGCCCAGCCACTGATGTGCTATTTCAGCAGCAGGAGGTAATGGATGTGGCTTCACAGGAACCCCTGGGGGATGTGGTGTATCAGAGCAGTCGGTCAGAGAGGATTAATTTGGGGATGACTTGTCATGAGGATGCTTTCACGTGAGCTGGGCTAATTCTAGACCTCCTTGCTCTGGTGAGCTGTGCAGAGAAGGCATCAATCAGTGTTATTAAAGGGATTCAGTTTGTTTTGTTGGCTCCATTTTTGCTAAGCTGCTGTTCCTGTTGATATTCAAAGTAAAATGTTGGCAGAGAGAAAGCAAACGAGATGAGGGACAAAAACGTGATT